GGGGGGGGGGGGGGGGGGGGGGGGGGGCATACGCATGCGGGCCAACAGTGTAAATCTTGGCCTGCCCCAGCCCCCGTTTCTTGAACCGGCCCTGAACCGCGCACACTCGCAGCACGCATGCAGGACCATCTGCCTGTGAGGCAGGCAGCCCGCCCGCCTCGGGGCGACCTTTCTCCAAGAAGTACATCCCCCGAGGCCCTGCTCGAATTCGTCCCAGTGCGACGAGGAGAAACGCACGCCTCTTAGTTGTTGGCACGAGCGTCGAAGTCAGCCAGGTTGGGGTGAGGCTTGACATCCACGATCTGGATGGTCTCCAGGAGCTGAAAGGGGGGTGTTTTGTCGGTGGGCAGAGGCGGATCATGACAACCGGCGGAGGCGGGAAGGGGGAGGACAGAGAAGACGTTAGAGATGCCGGGCAGGTCAAGCGAGGGCGGAGAAGAAAAGCAGGGGCGAGATGCCAGACGTGTGTGAGGAGAGGGTGGTGGTGGAGGGGGGGGGGGGGGGGCGGGCGCGCGGAAAAGCGCAGTGGAAGAAGACGCATGCGGGGACGCGTACCTTGTCAATGACAGTCCCCTTGTTGATGGTGTAGGCCTGGTCGATGCTCTGGATGGCCTGGTCGGTGCTCTGGGAAAGGCGAACAATGGCATCGCTGTTGGCGTGCTCGTTCTGCGTGCGCATGTGTGCGTGCGGGCGTGCATGAGAGGGGGCGGGCCGGGTGGCGACAGCGCCGAGAGGGGGTGGAACGTGGTAAGTAAGCGGGAAAGGGGGCGGCCCCCGGCCCAGCGGGGCGCGCGAGGGGTCCACCAGAAGGGCAGCCAGCTACGAAAGAAAGCGCACCTTGGAGAGAGCGAGGTTGTACTCGTCGTTCTTGGCCTTCTGGTAGTCCTGGACATACTTGTCGGCCTCGGCGCGGGCGTTGGTGAGGGTGCCAACACGCTCTGCGGGAGGGACGGACAGGCACGGAGACAGTCGCAGGGTGTGGGGAAGAGGGAGTAGGGCCTTCAAACTCCCCCGCCTAGATTGTGTCCCCCC